GGAGAGAGAAAGAGAGAGAACGATGGATTTGGGGGCGAGGAGCTGGGCAGTGGCAATGGAGTTTGAGCGATTGAGTTTTTCCCAGAGAGAGTGAGAGAGCGATGGTTTTTTGTTGTTGGATTTTTTCGATTTTTTAAAACTTAATAATTATTTATTAAATTTAATTCTAGTTTTTAAATAATATTCTATTTCAATTAAACAAAAAAGTGGCCCCCACAGGCATCACGTCAGCATTTAACGATTGACCGCACGGTCAACTTAACGAAAGGATAAAATTGAACAAGTTTGAAAACATTGGGGTGTAAATTCATGAAATTGATACCCCGAGACCTGTATTGAGAATGACCCCAAACCTAAAAGGGTGTCTTTCGATGTTAGCCCTATATTATATATAATATATAATATATAATATTATATACACTTAATAATCGCCAACTTGTAATTTAAGTTAATGGCCTCTCTAAAATAAATTAGATATGATTAAGTTCGAAATATTTAACTCTAACATGTAAGTTTTAAATCATATGTATTTGAAATACTTTATTTCCTATTTCAGCCCCTCCAATCTTACAACTCTACGCCACTAGTAGGTTTTAAGTTGTATCATGACTGTTGATAAGATAAATATATAAAAAAAAGTTGTACACACTTTTTCTACGCCACTAGTAGGTTTTAAGTTGTATCATGACTGTTGATAAGATAAATATAAAAAAAAAAGTTGTACACACTTTTTCTTCTTTTTTTTCAGAATGATTTCACTAGATAGGAATTCACTGTATTATTTCTGCATGCTTGTACAATCGAGTTGTTTGATGAGTTTTTCTGATGATGAAGATCGACCGCCAAGGATTATAATTAATTTAGATAACAATGTTCAATTCTCTATTCTTAATTATTATTACTTAATGACAATGTTCAATTCTCTGTTCTGAATTGTTTTTTCTTGATAGACAACCTTGTGAATTATATTAAAAATAAAAAGTAGCTGACTTTTAATCCAAGTCCAGACATGAGGCTCCTTGAAGGGATAACGAGAGAGTGTGGCTTACCTTGTTGTGTTAGAACGCATATAGATGATAAGAGAGAACAAAAATAATAGTTACAAATAATAGTTACCTTGTTATGGTAAAATTCACGTTTTAAAAAAAAAGCAAAACATACAATACTTGAATTGAACATGTACGTATGTAATTTTCATGTTTAATACACATATTTTTCAAAATTTTCAATAATACACACAAAATTATCACATATTATTGAATACAAATAATATATACTAGCCGCTTTGCACACGCTTCCGCGCCTGCGAGGGGCTTTTTTTTAAAAAAAGAATTTAATTTATTTTAGAATTAAAAAAGATAATGGGTAGTTGTGTTCCATAAAAATAGGATCCATTATCGGATTTTTCTTTTAATTTTAATTTTTTAAATATGAAAAAGTCTGAATTTACCATATTATAATAATTTCAATTCTTAATTTTTGCATTAACCAAGGGCATTTTCTGGCATTTTGAATGTTTCACCATTCTCTGCCTTTTGCTTTATATATATAGTGGCTGAACTTTTAAGTTGTAATTTGCTAAAATTTCGCAAAATAAAACATGTATACGTATACCAAATTAATATCTATAAAGTATAAACTAATAAAACTAGGAGGGTCCTTTTTTAATAATTTTTTTAATGCCAAAATTTTTTTTGTCTGAACCACGAGGTGGTTCTGGATGGGCCCCAATTATGGGTGGCACCTTTAAGCCTTAATTACAACCTAGACTAATCCCCGCTCACACCGGGTTGGCCCGTAAGGGGTAAAGTGCTGGCCAAAGTGGTGACTCCATACGAGAGCAGGGATCGAACCTCTGACCTCTCTTAAGGAATGAGAGTGCCGAACCACTCACACCAACCACCTTGGTTAATGCCAAAATTTTAATGAATAAAACACGTATGTATTTTATTCATATAGCCGCGCGGCTATACCAAATTAATATCTATAAAGTATAAACTAATAAAACTAGGAGGGTCCTTTTTTAATAATTTTTTTAATGCCAAATTTTTTTTGTCTGAACCACGAGGTGGTTCTGGATGGGCCCCAATTATGGGTGGCACCTTTAAGCCTTAATTACAACCTAGACTAATCCCCGCTCACACCGGGTTGGCCCGTAAGGGGTAAAGTGCTGGCCAAAGTGGTGACTCCATACGACGTCTCCATAGCACTCCCTTCCTCCATTGTTGCTGCACTCTGGTAGGAGTATCGCTAGAACGTCCTCCATTGTTGTTGTATCCTCAAATACCGTATTCTCTACTCTGCTTCTCTCATTGCCTCCCTTCCTCCACCAAATTTATCCATCCCCATCCTCCACTGTTGTTAGTGAGAGTTACAATTTTCTCAATAAGAATGAAATTTGCAATCCTAAGCGATTGGGTGGGTTGAAGAATTAATGGAGAGGTTCACTTGTCTATTCTTCTCCAACCGATAAAGAGGTTGAAGATTGAGGTACATACCCAATTTTTAGTGTAATTTTGTTGTAAAAATTGTTGTACAGGTTCTTAGTTTGTGTTTCTTGAATCTGCAATTTGTTTGTTGTAAAAATTGATTAGTGTAATTAGTTGGGTCTAGCTAGCGTGTGGTTCGTGGGTACTGGGTGGCTATAATATAATGTCAACTGAATGTGTATTACTGCATATGTATTACAGGAAGTTTATATTAATATTTGGAATTATTTAGGGTGGAATAATCTTCAAGAAGCCATTCAAATTTGGAGATGAGTGAAGAAAATGATGAGGTTGAGATTGGTGAGATTGGACTGGAAAATACAATGAGCCTAGAAGAAACAACACAAGAACCTAAGGTAAATATGATTTTTAACACAGCTGATGAGGTGCTTGATTATTATAAAAAATATGCAAATCGAGTAGGTTTTCCAATGAAGAAGAGATCATCGAAGAAAGGAGATTGTGGGGAGTTGAAATATGTGACTTTATCATGTTCTCGATCAGGGATCCCACAAGGTATTGTAAGCAATGTCCTAAAGCCATATCCAAGCATAAAATGCAATTGCAAGGCTCAACTTAGGGCAGGTATATGCTTGGATGGAAGGTGGAAAGTGAACTCGGTCAAACTTGTTCATAATCATGGATTGAATCCAGACGATGCTCGATATTTTCGAATGAATCGTGCAATAAGTTCGTATATGAAAAGGAAGATTGAAGTGAATGATAGAGCTGGAATAAGAGTAAATAAGAATTATAATTCAATGGTAGTTGAAGCCGGAGGGCATGAGAATATGTCATTCATGGAAAAGGATTGTAGAAATTACATTAACAAAGTTAGAAGATTACAGCTTGGGGAAGGAGATGCAACTACAATTCAAAAGTATTTCTTGAAGATGCAAGCTCAAAATGCAAATTTTTTTTTATGCAATTGATCTAGATGAAAGTGGTCGGTTACGGAATGTGTTTTGGGCAGATTCCAGGAGTAGGGCAGCATATGAGGAATTTGGTGATGCCATTACATTTGACACGACCTACTTGACGAATAAGTATGACATGCCATTTGCTCCATTTGTAGGTGTCAATCATCACGGGCATTCAATTTTGCTTGGATGTGGACTGATTTCAAGTGAAGATACTGAGATATTTGTTTGGCTTTTTAAAGTGTGGTTGGCATGCATGTCTAGGCATGCTCCATGTGGGATAATTACTTATCAAGACAGGGCCATGAAAAATGCTATTGAGATTGTCTTTCCTAACACTAGGCATCGTTGGTGCTTATGGCATATAATGAAGAAGCTTCATGAAAAGCTTAAGAGTTATAAACACTATGAATCTATTAAATTTACCTTGGAGAACATTGTGTATGATTCATTGACCAATATTGAGTTTGAAGATCGTTGGAAAGAGATGATTGAGAAGTATGAGTTACAGAGTAATGATTGGTTACGAGGCTTATATGATGAAAGACGTCGTTGGGTGCCAAGCTTTGTGAAAGGAAGTTTTTGGGCGGGCATGTCTACCACACAACGAAGTGAGAGTATGAATGCATTTTTTGATGACCACGTAAATTCTAAGACTACCCTGAAGCAATTTGTGGAACAATATGAAAATGCATTGATGACTAAGGTAGAAAAAGAGAACCAAGCAGATTATAAGTCTTCCTCTGCAGATATCCAATGTAGCACCCACTACTTTATGGAGAAACAAGCTCAAGGTGTGTACACTATTGCAAAATTCAAGGAGTTCCAAGATGAATTAACAGGTAAAATGTATTGTGAGGTAGTTGATACCAAGGAAGATGGTGTGTTTTTAAAGTATCAAATATCTGAAGATATGATAATTGCGGGAAAAAAAAAGAGTGTAAACTTTACAGTCATATTCCATGAATTTGACAGTGAAGTTAAGTGCAATTGTTCCAAGTTTGAGTTTAAGGGAATATTATGCAGACATGCCATTTATGTCTTGATTAAGCATAAGATGGATTTAATTCCAGATAAATACATCTTGCGAAGATGGAGGAAAGATGTGACAAGACGTCACACAAAGATTAAAATTAGCTATAATGAGTCAAATGCCACACTTGAAGCACATTAGTGTGATAAGATGCAGAAGACCTTTGATGAGATTAAGGAGTTGGCAACTGATTCTGAAGAAAAGTGTGTGATTGTGATGGCTTGGATGCAGAAACTAAAGGAGCAATTGTCTAACCAGGACAACGTTTGTGGGAGTACTCAACCAACTCCTGAGTCACCAACTGGTAGGAGCTTTGACAATTGTGTTAATGAAATTTCAAATTCGAAGAAGATACTTACCCCGTTAGCAGTCAGAAGCAAAGGTCGACCACCATTTAAAAGGAAGCAATCTAAAATGGAACAAATTGTTAGAAAGAGAAAACAAGGAGAAAAGAAGAGCACATCTCAAGAAAAAAATACTAATAAAAGAAAAGGAATGAAGGTATGCAAATAAAATAGCTATTACTTATTTTGTTATGTTAAGTGAGTAAATATTCATGGAGTACATGTGATTCCCATTCTTTATCTTGGCTTTGCTACATATGTATTTTTTAAATGAGATACTTGGTTTTTTTGTACTTCAGGATTCTCAAAATGCACGAGATAGTCATGTTGGTATGGATGATGATCAATACCCTACATTTCCCATTCGAAATGTGAGTTGTGAAAAGATTCATCTGATGTTGTTCTATTACTGTTGTATTTAATTGTTTGATTTTTAAATTAGTGATGTATTTGAAATTCTTTGGTTATTGGATTTGTTTATATTTTGTGTAGGATAATATGGCTTTGTTCATGGGGTTTGGTCAAGGAGATCGTCCACATCACTTGAATGGAGAGTGTATAATAGAAAGCACACGACACCCTACTGTTTACCTACAACCTCACGAACACATGATATAAGGAAGTGCTCAAGTCTGATTTTGGTGTCCAGAAGTAATGGAGTTGATCTTGTACTCAACCACAAAATTAGTTTTTTTTTTCTTTTTCCTTTTCATTCATATATATCACTGTCGTAGCAATTTAATCTACATGGTACTGTTAATTATGTCCATTCGTGGATTGGAAATATCATTATTAATTTCTATAGTTATTCTTCCAGTATCAGTGTTGTCTAATTACTTCCAGCGTTTCTGTTAAGAGTTACTTGGGCCTCCCTGCATTGTTGCCTAAGAGTAGGATGGTTATCATTCAAAGAAACGCCAATAGTGATCCAAAGAACCAAAACATATAATAATTCAATGAATTTCCTTACAAAAATATATGAGTATAACCACTTATTCATCAGTGAGCATTTACAATCAAGACAGAGAAACCTATCTGCAATTGTAGGAAGAAAAAAATTAAACAAAACTTGGGGTTGCAGAATTTAGACTTGTAAAATCACTCAATTCCCTTGTCATTGTAGACCAAGTTGTGCAACGTTCAGATTACAGAATGTAAATATACTGCTTCTTGATCAATTATGAAAGAACCTATCATCCACTGGGAGGTAATTGGGCATAACAATTTCTGATAAGCAGAGAGCAAAGATTGACTTAAAAACCTGCAAGCCAAGAACCAAACCCTGTCTCAAATTAAAATCATATTGGAGATTACAGTCAGTATCACAAAAATGCCAGTTAATGTTTTAGTTTAGCTTCAAAAGAAAATTTATTCAAGGTGTATCATATATTGAATTATTCATATAGTCTGTGAACTGAATGTTTCAACCGTTTAGAATTCCTTCGAACTTAGAAAGGTGTGCTAGCCAAGAACAAAACATAGAATACATCCTGAGAAAGACAACGGAGACACCCATACAGAACAAAGAAATGCAAATTACAAAAGCTAAGCAGATAGAAACCATCGAACAAACTAGGTTGGAGATCTAATTAATTCAAATATTATCACATTCAGTTGACATTATAGCCACCCAGTACCCACGAACCACACGCTAGCTAGACCCAACTAATTACACTAATCAATTTTTACAACAAACAAATTGCAGATTCAAGAAACACAAACTAAGAACCTGTACAACAATTTTTACAACAAAATTACACTAAAAATTGGGTATGTACCTCAATCTTCAACCTCTCTATCGGTTGGAGAAGAATAGACAAGTGAACCTCTCCATTCTTCAACCCACCCAATCTCCTAGGATTGCAAATTTCATTCTTATTGAGAAAACTGTAACTCTCACTAACAACAGTGGAGGATGGGGATGGATAAATTTGGTGGAGGAAGGGAGGCAATGAGAGAAGCAGAGTAGAGAATACGGTATTTGAGGATACAACAACAATGGAGGACGTTCTAGCGATACTCCTACCAAAGTGCAGCAACAATGGAGGAAGGGAGTGCTATGGAGACGAGAGGAAGAAGTTTAACAGACGTGAGGAACTAACCAGGGACACTAGGGTTTTTTCATTTGTTTTTTAATTTTTAATTTGTTTTGTTTTTTAAGAATTATTGAAAAAAGAATAAATAAAAAATAGAATACACATGTCAACATTCATTAATTGACATGGCAAGACACCTCAGCTGCCACATAAGGTGGTCAGCTAAGGTGGTCAATTTTGTGCGTCTAAATAGCATTACTCATAAAGTAATACCACTAGGAGGCTCCCTTTTTCATATTTTTTTTTATTAAATAGTATAGCCGAGCGGCTATAGTACGGTTTTATAAAAAAAAATAGTATAGTCGCGTGTCTATACTTGGTTTTTTCCAATTTTTTAAAAAAGAAATAGTCTAGCCGCAAGGCTACACTCGGTTTTTTCCAATTTATTTTAAAAGAAATAGTATAGCCACTTGGCGATACTCGGTTTTTCCAATTTTTTAAAATGAAATAGTCTAAACTCGGTTTTTTTCTAATTTTTTTAAAAATGGTATATCCGTCCGGCTTTACTCAGCTTTTTAAAATTTTGTTTTTTTAATAAATAGTATAGCCGATCGGCTATACAAGCTATTTTTTTTAGTTTTAAAAAAAAATGAAATAGTACAGCCGGTTGGCTATACTCGGTTTTTCCAATTTTTTAAAGGGTATACTAGTGATTTACCCCCTAAACTTGTACCTAATTTTCAATTAACCCTGTATCCTTTTTTTTTAGAAAATTAAAGATATTAACTTTTTTATTTCGCCAATTTCCCCCCTCCGTCTAAATCCACAACATTTCATCCAATTTGCCGTTAAAAATGAGGGCAAAATGGTCATTTTGTACATTAAAAATAATTAAAAATTAAAAAAAAAGAAAAAAAAAGAAAGAGAGGCTCCTTTGGGTTGCGCTCTGTTTTTGGGCAAAGGAGGTCTCTTCCCCATTTAGCTTCAAGTACTTCAATGCCTTCCTTTCATCTGAAGTTTTCTTCATTGCCATCTCTCTCTCTCTCTCTCTCTCTCTCTCTCTCTCTCTCTCTTTCTCTCTGCAAACAAAAACTATCAAGAATGGTGCTTTCTCTTAGATTGCACAACCTTCTCTCACCCACCTTCAGACCCAAACCAGCATCAGTTTCGGGTGGGGATGGGGTGGTTGTATGGTGGCTTTGGGCTGCGATCTAGGGGTGGATCTCGCGCAGGGATGGGGTTGGGGGATGGGTCTCTGAGCCCCTTTGAAGTCCACACCTTGCTGTGGCGATCTAGGGGTGGATCTCGCGTAGGGATGGGGCTGGGGGATGGGTCTCTACTGCTGCCATTTCCAATTCTTGGGAACTTACAGGCTGGGCTTGAATCTCCTCCACCTCCGTATCTGCTTCCATACCTTTCTCAAACAAAGACTCATTCAATTTGGGGAATTTCTTTTTTTTTTTTTGGGCTGGGTTTTAGGGTTTTAGCTGTGTTGTGATGGGGTAGATGTGTTGGAGGAGATGGAGCTGGGGAAGGGGGGCGATAAGGTTGCTGGTTCAGTGTCTTTATGTGCTTTTTCTTTTTTTTCTTTTTTTTTTTGGGGTCAATTTTCTTCTTTTTCTTCAATCCTTTATAAAAAAAAATAATTTTAAAAAATAATTAACTGAAAATTGGATGAAATGTTGCCGATTTAGACGGCAGGGGGGAAATTGGCGAAAAAAAATAGTTCGGTTCCTTAATTTTCTAAAAAAAAGGATAGGGGGCTAAACAAAAGCAAGGTACAAGTTCAGGGGGTATTTCACGAGTAAACCATTAAAAGAAAGAGTATAGCCGCGTGGGAATACTCGGTTTTTAGAATTTTTTTTAAAGAAATAGTATAGCCGCTCGGCTATACACGGTTTTTTTCCCTACTTTTTTTAAAAAGGAAATAGTATAGCCGAGCGGCTATACTCGATTTTTTCCAATTTTTTTAAAAAGAAATACTATAGCCGCTCGGCTATACATGGTTTTTTTTTCTACAAATTGATATCTTCATTGTATTCATCTATATACCTGATTATTGTTACATGATTAATTGATTTGATAATAGTTACAGGACTAATTGATTCTCAATTACTTATTTATTTTTATTTTTTTGTATTTGAAGGTAATCCTAAGAATGAACGATCTAGATAATGAAATAGGCCCAAACTAGTGGTTTCTTTCGTATGAAATTTTGGTGATCTTATATACCTATGGGTAGAAGTTTGAAAATTTTCCTCTAAGAAATTTAGGCCCTGTCTGGTAACGTTTTCAGAGAATGTTTTCAGAGAATATTTTCAGAGAATGAAAACAAGAAAACGAATTTGCATTTTCAGGATTCAAGAATGCGTCTGGTAGATTAATTAGAAAACATATTCAGAAAATAAAAACAGTGAAAACGTGTCTGGTAGTACAATTTGAGAATAATAATATGTGAGTTATTTTTCAAGTATATTTTTGCTAATGTATGTTCTATAAAAAATAAAAAATTTCTAATGTTATAAAAACCTAGAATTATCTTTAATAATAAGTGAAAATGATAAATAAAAAGGTGGAATTTTCTTCTCCGAAACAGGTAGAACTACGAAAATAAAAAATATAAAAAACAAATAAGGGAGAACACATAAAAAAAGAATTTCCATATGTTTCTTGGTCAACCAAGAAAATCATGAATTGTTTCCTATTGGTTTATTGAAATATATATTCTATATTCTATATTCATTA